AATTTCACCATTTCACATTCCCAGCAGCAGTATATGAAAGTTCTAGTTGCTCCACATATTTGCCGACACTTGGTATGGTCAGTCTTTTCCGTTATAATCATTCTAGTGGGTGTAAAGTGGTACTTCACTGGGGTTTTGACGTGCATTTCCCTAATGACTAATGATGTTGAGCATCTTTTTATGTACTTGTTGTTCAGCTGTATACCATCTTTGTTCAAATGTCTACACAAACCCTTTGCCCATTTTAAAATTGGGCTTTTTATTGTTGAGTTTTATGTATTCTTTTTATATTCTGGATTTAAGCCCTCCAGCACATACAATTTACAAATGTTTTCTCCCATTCCGTGGGTTGTCTTTTCACTTTTTTTTTTAAGATTTTATTTATTCATGAGAGACACAGAGAGTGAGGCAGAGACATTGGCAGAGGGAGAAGCAGGCTCCCTGCTGGGAGCCTGATGCAGAACTTGATCCTAGGACCCTGGGATCATGACCTGAGCCAAAGGCCGATGCTCTACCACTGAGCCACCCATGTGCCCCGTCTTTTCACTTTCTTGATGTTATCCTTTGAACATGTTTCCAACTTTGAGAAAGTCCAATTTACCAGTTTTTTATGTCATTTGTGCTTTTGAGTTCATATCTAAAGCTTTGCCTGATCCAAGGTCACAAAGATTTACTCTAGTTTCTTTCTCAGAGTTTTATGTTTTAGTCCTTTAATTTAGGTCTATGCTCCATTTGAGTTAATTCTGGTATTTGATGTGAAGTAAGGTCCAACTTCATTCTTTTGCATGTGGATTTCCAGTTGTCCTAGCACCATTTGTTTAAAAGACCATTCTTTCCCCAGTGAATTGTTTTGGCACCCTTGTCAAGAATCAATTGCCTCTAAGAGTTTATTTCTGGACTCTCAATTCTATTGCATTGAGTTACATACTCATCTTTATGTCTGTACCACATTATTTTAATTATTATAGCTTTACAGTAAATTTTAAAATGTAAGTCTTCCAACTTTGTTCTTCTTTTACAAGATTCATTATGCAGGGTCTCTTGTATTTCCAGATAAATTTTAGGGTCAGCTTGTTAAATTCTGCAAAAAACACAGTTGTGATTTTGATAGGGATTACACTGAATTTGTAGATCAACTGGAGAATATTGCTGTCTTAACAATATTGTCTTCCAATTTATAAATATGGGATGTCTTTATGTTTTGTTTTGGTTTATGATAGGGAGATGGGGAGAGAGAATCTTAAGCAGGCTCCACATCCAGCATAGAGACTGTCTTGGGGCTCAACCTTACAATCCTGAGATCATAACCTGAACCAGAATCAAGAGTTGGACTCTTAACTGACTGAGCCACGCAGATGCCCTGGGATGCCTTTTATTTATATTAGGTCTATTTAAATTTCTTTCAACAATGCTTTGTAGTTTTTAGTGTACTGTCTAGCACTTCTTTAAATGTATTCCTAAGCATTTTTTTTGATGCTATTATAAATGAAACTGTTTTAATTGCATTTTAAGATTGTTAATTGCTGCTGTATAGAAATACAACTGATTCCGTATGTTGACTTTATATCCTGCAAACTTGCTGAACTCATTTAACTTTTTGTGTTTGTATTTCTTAGAATTTTCTATATATAAGATCATGTCTCTAAAAATAGAAAGTACTTTGCCTCTTCCTGTCCAATCTGGATGCTTTTTATTTCTTTTTCTTGCCTAATAGCCCTCACTAGAACCTTCAGTACAATGCTGAATAGGAATGGTAAAAGTGGACATCTTATTTCTTATTTTAAGTATTATGTATGATGTTAGTTGTTGTGTTTTTTGTTTTGTTGTAGATATTCATTATAAGGTTGAGGAAATTCCCTCTACTTCAAATTTGTTGAGAGTTTTGTTTCTGAAAGGATGTAGGATTTTATCAAATCCTTTTTCTGTGTTGAGCAGATTGTATGATTTTACAGTTTATTCTATCAATATAGACTTTTGGATGTTAAACCAGCATTGCATTCCTAGTATAAATCCTACTTGGTCAGTGTACAGTCACTTTTATGTTGCTGGATTCAGTTTTCAGAACAAAGTGACAAGTGAATCTGGAAGAGCAAGCAAAAAATATCCAGCATAGTTACCAAAGACAGTGATATAGCCAGGATCACCGATCTAGCAATCTTTTTTCACAATAAAGGAAATCAATACTATGAGTATACAATTTGATGAGTGCAAAGAGAAATATATAAAAATATAAAGATATGGTCTCATAGCCTCAAAATACTTATAATATTGTTGACAAGATACTTAATATGTGTGAAATAATCAGTAAATATTCAAAAAAAAGATAAAGTCTAGAAAAATAAAATCAAGGTAGGAATTACCTTATGCTTTTTTTATATTCACATGGTAGGAGGCAAAGTGTTAGCTTCACTTGTCGATGCCTAGTTTCCTGGGAAGGGCTTTTAAACTATCAAAGACTGATACTAGAAAGCTAAACTAGAAGAAAAGAACACTTAATGGGTACTCACTATGTATTTGGTGCTTGAATATATTGTTTAATCAGAAACCATGGTTTAGTTATTATTCCTGGCTTACAGATGAGGGAATTAAAGTTTAAGAAACTAAGTCAACTTTCTCAAGCTTAAACTGGGAACTAGGATATCCCAGGTGTGTCTGATTTGCCTAGGAGTATTACTCTCTATACCACATCCAGAAGCACCTGAAAGCAGGAGACCTGAAGGTTAGTAGCCTAGCATTCAAGTATCATAAACAACAATAATCTGTTGTTAAAGTTTGAGTAATTCACACTACCTCTTACATCCCTAGTTAATCTATTATTTTAGAAAATGAGATGATAGGGGATCCCTGGATGGCTCAGCGCTTTAGAGCCCTGGATGGCTCAGCGCTTTAGAGCCTGCCCTCGGCCTGGGGCATGGTCCTGGAGTCCTGGAGTCCTGGGAAGGAGTCCCACATCGGGCTCCCAGCTTGGAGCCTGCTTCTCCCTCTGCCTGTGTCTCTGCCTCTCTCTGTGTCTCTCATGCACAAGTGAATGAAATCTTTAAAAAAAAAAATGATAACACGGCCTACTGTTGTCTTTGGAAGATCATATAATGAAGTCTAAGCATAGGGGAAGGTTGGGCCAAAACACTAAATATGATTATATGTGTGTGTATGTGATACTTGCATATCTATATCTATATTTAAAGTCAGTAACTATTTTTTGAAATATTTCTTATCTTTACTAATAGTCTGAACAAGTAAGAAAAGAAACAACTGAGGTTATTGTTGGTTTTTAAATAGTTTGCCTCTCATTTTTCATGAATTGTTCAGCAAATATTCTACACTGAAATTATACCTGAAAAAGTTGGGAAATAATCTAAAATTTTATTTATTTATTTATTTTATTTTATTTATTTATGATAGTCACAGAGAGAGAGAGAGAGAGGCAGAGACATAGGCAGAGGGAGAAGCAGGCTCCATGCACCGGGAGCCTGACGTGGGATTCAATCCCGGGTCTCCAGGATCGTGCCCTGGGCCAAAGGCAGGCGCCAAACCGCTGCGCCACCCAGGGATCCCCGGAAATAATCTAAAATTTAAAGATGAGGTAAGGGACTCATTTATTTTTATTTATTTATTTATTTATTTATTTATTTATTTATTTATTTTATTTTATTTTATTTTATTTTTTTAAGGGATTCATTTAAATAAAGGCAAAGTTCTTGCTACACACATTCATTAGTACCCAAATCTGTGCACCCTATTCACAGAAGCTACACTAACTAGCTTTCTGACCAAGGGCAAGCTCTTTATATTATATTTCAGTTGCTCTCTTAAAATAGAAACAACAGTTCTAATACAAGCTATTAATATAAAGTGAGGTTATAAATATGAAAGTGTCAGATAAAGCTAATGATAAATTTCACCATTTGGGACCTGCTCATAGGAAAATAATCTTTTATCTCTAGAATCCATTCTATGTGTGGCCTCAGTTGAGAGAATCAGCTATTTTTGCTAACATCTATAATCTCCCCAATTTTTACTATAGGTCTTCATAAATTTGTTAGATGAACCTTATGTCTAAGTCATTTCTCTATCTGGGAACAGAGGTAGAAGTAACCTGGTAAACACTGGATCACTTCTGCTTTTTTAAGTCTAGAAACTTTTATATCCTGCTTTCCACGTGTGGAAATTTTTATGTTGTACTTAGTATCTTGCCCATCTAATGAGTACATAATAAAAAGAAAAAATGAAAGAAAAAAATAATCTTCCCTTTTATATTTGACTACAGACTGGGATTCAACAATGTCCACAATAGCCAAAATATGCAGAGCCTAGATGTCCATTGACAGATGATGGATAAAGATGTGGGATATATATATATCACTCAGCCATCAAAAAGTATGAAATCTTGCCATTTGAAATGACGTAGATAGGACTAGAGGATATTAAGCTAAATGAAATAAGTCAGTCAGAGAAAGACAAATATCATATGATTTCACTCATATGTGGAATTTAAGAAACAAAACAGATGAACATATAGGAAGGGAAGAAAAAATTAGACAAGAACAGAGACGAAGACAAACCATAAGAGACTCTTAACTATAGGGGGGTGCCTGGGTGGCTCAGTTGGTTAAGTGTCTGCCTTCAGCTCAGGTCATGATCCCAGGGTCCTAGAATCAAGCCCTACATTGGGCTCCCTGCTCAGCATGTACCCTGCTTCTCTCTCTCCCTCTGCTTACCGCTCCCCCTGCTTGTGCTTGCTCTCTCTGTCAAATAAATAAATAAATAAATAATCTTTAAAAAAATAGAGACTCTTAACTATAGGAAACAAACAGGATTGCCAGAGGAGAGGTGGGTGGAGGGATGGGGAAACTAAGTAATGGGTATTAAGGAGGGTACTTGATGGCATGAGTACTGGGTGTTATATGCAACTGATGAACCACTATATTCTACTTCTGAAACTAATAATACGCTACATGTTAATTAAATTTAATTTAAATTAAAAAAAGACTCTACCATAATAGAATGGAAATTTTTATTTTATAAATAGAAAAGCAAAATACTGTTATTAAATTGACCCTGAAATCACACCTGAATTCATACCTTACAGTTCAGTTTTCCCAGTTCATCAATTAATTCTGCAAAACAGACTAAACCTCTGTCTGTCAAGTAAGCATAGACCACATTAAACCATGATAACAGAGATGGCTGGCAAGATTAAGCAAAGGAAGTGATTGTAGCTTTGTTCGACTTCTTTATCTTCTTGGAAACATTCTCCATGGCCATGTGAGACTTAAAGACTGTGACTGTCCTGGCCAGAGAAGAAGGTTAAAGCTGTATCAGAGAGAATTACAGACTACTCTTCTACCTTCATCTTGTGATATCCATGTTTCTCAGAGAGGTCTGGCTAAACCAGAATATTCTTTGCAATAGCATTCAAAGTCCTTACTTGTGCCACATCTGTTACCTTTAGAGAATATTCTGAGCTAGAAAGAGAGGCTCCCATGGTAACAGAGGAATTTCTGCAACAGAAATAATAAAAAAAACAGATAGTTAATTTTATATTAGCCCTCCTCCTCGCACTTCATTTTATAGGCTATTTAATGGTTCAAAAACACAGGTAGGTCAAGGATCCTGGATTCCCGTATTTCATAATTTTTATTAATTACTTGAAATATCTAGTAGCCAAATATACCTGACAATATACTTGATTTTATATCTAGAAATGTAGCTCTAAGGCTCTTCTTTTACATGTCATTTTTCCCAATTCTAAATAGAAATAATAAACTACTAACTATTAAATTATAGGAGTCTTCTAAAGTATAATAATAAAACTCAATGGTTTAAATTTCTTAATGGTGGTATAATTTCAAAATAACTAAAAATGAGAGCAAAGATGAGAGAAGATGAAGTATTAAAGGTGGGAGGGATAAAAATGACTAGACTCTTCCATTCTTATACCATAGTTATTAACTCAGGTAAAGGAAATCACAGTTGAATGGGCATACATACACATCTGACTCATTTGAACCTTACCTACTGAGATACAGTTTATTATTAACTGGTCTAAGTTCAGCAATAACTTACAAATATAAAGGTTCACCTAAGTTCAGAAAAGCCTGCTATGTGAGGCAAGATAAAACCATTTTGCAGTTGAAAAAATTCAAAAAAAAAAAAAAAAAAGAAAGAAAGAAAAATTCAAAACTGACTGCAATACTTACATATTAATCACAACATACCATTCACTAATCACACCATCACAACTAAGGTTTTCCTTTATCAGGATGTAAAGATTAACCTGTCCCTTCTTGTATGAATCAAAGAATACATTTTTACCGAAACTTCATTCCTGAATCTCTAGCTGACCGAGCAGAACAGTGAAATTCTGTAGCACCCGAACCCTCAAGGATCCTTTGTAGATTTCTGTCTGTTATGCCACCCCCTGTAGGAAGAATAAGTAATACATTAAGTAGAAGAGAATTCTGTAGAAAATTTAATGAAAATAGTGACTGCTTGCTCTACCTGAAATTCCCATATCAAAATTTTTCATTGCTCAAGAGTTACTCTCTCCCTACTAAGCTAGAATGAGATTAGAAAGAAATGACAGAAGACATAGGCTACAGACTCTGGAGAACAACTAATAAGGTCATAGAACCTGTATGATGGAATCTTAAACATCCATTGGTTTGAATAGCAATCCCATATGATACCGACTTTAAAAAGATTGTTCTAGGGCAAGGAAAAATGACTGAGTGCTCTCTCTGCTCCCCCTCAATTTAAGCAAAATCAAAAAGTAAGGATATGTTTGAGGATGAAGCTACAAAGCACAGCCTCAGAGATGTGTCAGAATGACACAAGTTCTCTCTTTAACCCAGGATTCAAAGAACACACTGACCTCACTGGAAATGAAGTTACACAGTTTATTCATTACAGTATCAACTTCCTGTTTTTCACAGAAGAATCTGATTCTACTCTAGTAAATGCACAAGTACTTTGTAATGACTCATTTGTTTCGCTGAACAATCTTTTAGTTAAATATTTGTATATAAACAATTATATTCTGAACTGATACCAGATTAAAAATATAAAATTACTCTTTATAGCCTTCTTTCTTAATATATAGGATGTAGTCAATAAAGATTTTTGAATTACTGATAAAATACATACTTGGTATTTCAAACTATTTAAGTTGAAGTAATTTTACATATACTCTTTTGGACTCACTAACTTGTTTTCTTTTCTCAGTGATATCACTGAGCCCTAAGAAGCTGAAAAAACTCTTTTTTTAGACATGTGGAAAGATAAAATGTCATGAAGCTTTTCACTTTAAAATACCTAAGGGTAAAAAAAGATAACAAATGCGGCAAAATGTTAAATCTAGGGAATGAATATAGGAGTATTCATTATGCTATTTTCTACTTTTTTATATGTTTGAGAAAATTAATATGAAAAAATTAAGATTATATTTGTCCCTGATTCTAGATTCTCTTATTAATTCTTTAAAAATTGTTCATCTCTAATGAGCCAGAATGTACCTAATTGGTCTTTTGATTATCATCAGGAGCATATGCTCCAATTGTTCTAGCTATAAGACAGAATTTGGTGACCAGAGATTTTCAAGAACCAAGAGAGTATTATATTTCTCCATAGATATTGCCTAAACATTTGCATGCACCTGTTAACAATGAGGACATTTGGCCCTAACTCAGTATAGAAGCATCAAATTTGGTGTGCCTCACCAGAGATGAACATCCATATTCACAATATTCTATACTATGGGAGAGCAAACAGAAAGAAACCTCAATCCCAATCAATTTACTTCTTTATTAATTCTCTGAGCTAATTCCTACTTGAATGTTCTCTGTATCTGAAGTTTTAAATTCCAGCACAGATCTCCCAATCTTAAACTTTTAATCAAATTACGTATTTTTCTCTCTGAATACCATGTATTAATATTTTCTCTCACGTTGTCCTGCCTTTTTTGTTCTTCCTCTACTGCACTCCAGTGTTATACTAACAAATGGATAGATAATTTAAATACCTGGCATTACCACAATCCTCCCTTTTGCCTGGAAAAAGAAAAAAAAACAAATTTTAATATCGTTCTCTCAAATGGGATAATAAGGCAGTGAGAACAGAAGCATGAGTGAAAGTATATTAAATTTTAAAAACTACTACTAGTCTCTAACTTTCAATAGTCATCTCTATTTCTTTGGGATCTTGGGTAAAGAAGATGTCTAGCATAGTAACTCTATTCAGAAAGGTTATTTTATTGTACTGCTTTGAAGACTTGTGCTGTAATGAACACAAAGAATAGGGGACTACAGTATAAATACTGAATAATCACATCACCTTAATAAAAGCTATTACTGAAAAATAACACTAATTTTGAATTCTTGGTATGCAGTGGAATGGAAATAGTTGAATTTAAATAAGATTTCAGCAGAAAAGAAAGAGCACAACATAATAGTATATTACTGGGAAGAAAACAACCTACTCAAATCTTGTATACTCAACTAAATTCCCTAGCTTATTTTATAAGTTAAACAAAACCACAAGTGCACTTAGCTGGATTTTAAGTAATAAAATTAGACTATATGAATTAATTTCTGTAAAATCTGGATGATAGGTATTGAAACTTCCTTACTTGTATTCACATTTTCATTACATTTCCTAAGTAAGTTTTGGGGATATACTGAGTATCACTGAAAGTCAATTATTGCCCAAACGCAAATTTAGTGGAACTACTGGTAGCAGGTAGGTAGCAATGACAGAATAAAAATTACATATTATGCACTAGCATTTTTCACAGAGCCAGAGCCACCAATCCTAAAATTTCTAAGGAACCACAAAAGACCCCAAACAGCCAAAGCAATTCTGAAAAAGAAAAACAAAACTGGAGGCATCACAAATCCAGATTTCAAGCTCTATTATAAAGCTGTAGTCATCAACACAGTATGGTACTGGCACAAAAACACATAGATCAGTGAAACAGAATAGATAACCCAGAAATGGACCCAAAACTCTATGGTCAACTAATATGCAACATAGGAAAATATATCCAGTGGAAAAAAGACAGTCTCTTCAACAAATGATGTTGGGAAAACTGTTCAGCAACATGAAGAATGAAACTGAACCACTTTCTTACACCACACACAAAAATAAACTCAAAATGGATGAAAGACCTAAATATAATACAGGAAACCATCAAAATCCTAGAGGAGAACACAGGCAGAAGCCTCTTTGATGTTAGCTGTAGCAACTTCTTACTAGACTCATCACTGGAGGCAAAGTAAACAAAGCAAAAATGAACTATTGGGACTTCATCAAGATAAAAAGCTTTTGCACAGTGAAGGAAACAATCAACAGAACTAAAAGGCAGCCTATGGAATGGGAGAAGATATTTGCAAATGACATTATCTGATGAAGGGTTAGTATCCAAAATCTATAAATAACTTAGCAAACTCAACATCCAAAAAACAAACAACCCAGTTAAGAAACAGGCAGAGAAGACATGATTAGACACTTTTCCAAAGAAAACATCCAGATGGCTAACAGACACATGAAACGATGCTCAACATTATTCATCATCAGGGAAATACAAATCAACACCATGATGAGATACCACCTCATACTTGAGAGAATGACTAAAATTAACAACACAAGAAACAACAGGTGCTGGCAAGGATGTATAGAAAGGGGAACCCTGCACTATTGGTTGTAATGTGAACTGGTGCAGCCACTCTGGAGAACAGTTTGGAGATCCCTCAAAAGTTAAAAATAGAACTACCCAACAATCCAGCAACTGCACTACTATTTACCTAAAGGATACAAAAATACAGATTTGAAGGGGTACATGCACCTCAATGTTTGTAGCAGCATTATTAGCAATAGGTAAACTATGGAGAGAACCCAAATGGCCATCAATGGTGAATGGATAAAGAAGAAGATGTGGTTTATATATACAATGGAATGTTACTCAGCCATCAAAAAATAAAAAAATAAAAAAATAAAAAGAAAAAAAAAGAAATCTTGACATTTGCAATAACATGGATGGAGCTAGAGTATATTATGCTAAGTGAAATAGAGAAAGACAAAACCATATGATCTCACTCAGATGTGTAATTTAAGAAAGGATGCAGAGGAGCATATGGGAAAGGGTAAAAGAAAAAAAGAAGACAGGGGAAACAAGCCATAAGAGACTCTTAATAATAGAGAACAAACTAACAGTTGATAGAGGGTGGTGGGTGAGGAATGGGCTAGATGGGTGATGGGCATTAAGGAGGGCACTTGTGATGAGCACTGGGTGTTTTATGTAAGTGATGAATCACTTTGGAATTCTACTCCAGAAACCAATATTGCACTGTATGTTCACTATCTAAATTTAAAATTTTTAATTTAAATTTTAAAAATTACATATTATGTCAAGCTTATAATTTTTGGAATAAAACGATTTAAGTTGTATGCAGTTAGAATTTTTTCTATTTTTTTGGACCAGCCAATTTTGCCACTCAAAATAATTTCAAGTCATTTGCCTCAACTATGCAGCTCTCAAGGTTGGATACCTAATCTTTCTTCTACTGGGTGCTACTGAACTATGAAAAAATTCAATAAAGAACCGCATATAGCTTAGTTTATTTTTCCATAGAAAAAATGAAACAATTGACTAATATATTCAATAAATACAATTAATGTTGAGAATACTTAGTTCTATATCATGTCCAGTTAGGACAAATAAAACAAAAAAATTGGCTTAGTGTGGGGAGGGTAAAATGGGGAAAAGAGAAAAAGAGAGCATGTTCAATGTAAGCAGAGGTGCAGAAAAGGAAAGGAAACAGAGGATAAGAGAGGACAGAAGAGAATAGAAACCAAAAGAATGGAGTAAAGTAAAAATTAGTTAACACCAGGAATCACAGTGCAAAGAAGGGAAGAGAAGCAGAAACTCTCCAAAGCAGTGACAGCATAAGGACAATAAAGAAGATAATAAAAGTAAGGAAGATGATAGAGATGGTCGTGAGTAGAGGGAAAAACAGCTTTCTCCTTACTTTTAAGACAAGTTACAAATACTTTAATGGGTTCTAAGTAACTAGCAGTGTAAAGTTAACATGAGCAGTCATGATGATTGTTGAAGCTCTTAATGTTAATAGCAACAAACTCTAAAACAGCTCCAATGAGCTAGATATATTATAAAAGCTGTCCTGTGAAAAGCATTCCAAATTTTTTTTTAGTTAAAAAATGATATGCTGATGCAAAAAGGGAAATAGAGACTGATAAATTAGTTGCATATTACCATACCATAAGGTGTAAAAAAACAAAAACAAAAACAAAAAAACCTCTTTTGCAGATCTGAGTCAACAAAAACCTGTACTCTATAATGAGGAAATTAGAACACCCAGACTAGTATTTAAGTAAAAGGGACTCAGTTAAATAATCAAAAGTGACCTCAAAGTCCAACTTCTTCTGGCACATCTGTCACTGAAAAAACACACACTTTTTCATGACAGTTGAATTATGTGTCATTTTGGAAAGATAGCTCCAAAGTTACCAAAAAAGATTAGTTTCTTTTTCCAGAGGAAAAAAAAATCTGTAGACTACCATTTTGTAGATTTTTCAGATAATTTCCTTCTGATCAATTTTTAAAACTCCAAACTGATCTGTCATGAAAGTGTTTATCAATGTCACTTTACTCACCCATCCATTCATCCAACAAATATTTATTAAGTGCCTACCATGTTATCAATATTCTCTATATTGCAGTTGAAAGGACCCAGAATATGCCACTGTGGCATAAAAATTATTTTGAGCTGAAAGCAGTTGAGTTCCTGAAATTCCTTATCTGCCCTAAAAGCAGAGCCTCCCACGAAAATTCAAAAAAGAACTCAATTGTCAAAAATCCTCTCTCTGGGAATAACTCATTAGCACCACATCCAAATAGACATTGTCACAAAACTATTTTATCTTCAATTTATTCTCATTAGGATCCATTTGTTTATCTTTCAAAAAAATCTTTCCCCCACTCCACAAATGCTCTGTCCTCTTTTACCTAAGCGCCCTTCTCCTCCTTCCTCTTCATTTATTAAAATGGTATATGTTTAAAAAAATAAAATGGTATATGTAAGATTAATCCTACAAATCCTAAGCACCCCTTTGAGTCACATTTCTTTGTGAACTCTAATACATACTCATATGATTAAAATCTGTTTTTCCTCTCACTAACCTGTGTTTTGTCAGTTTAATTCACAGGCCCTCAAACATAAAACCTAAGAAAGCAGAGAAATATTCTTTCCTCTCTGACATGGTAAATGAGAATATTACTACTGCAATGGAGCTTACATGTTTATGGAAGATAGACAACAGATAGGTAATATTTATATAATAAAATTTCAGGTAGCAATTATATATAATGAAAAAACAATAAAGCAGGCTGCTGCCTGAGGGTCTCAGTCAGATAAGTGTCTGCCTTTGGCTCAGGTCATGATCTCAGGTTCCTGGGATGGAGCCCCGTGCCAGGCTCCTTGTTCAGCAGGGAGTCTGTTGCTCCCTCTCCCTTTGCTTGCTTCCCCTGCTCATTCTTTCATTCTATTTCTCTCAAATAAATTAATTAAATCCTTTAAAAAATCAATAAAGTAAGGTAGTGAAATAGAGTAAAAGGGGAAATGGGTTATCTCATAGAATTTAATAGTTGTTCAGAGCATTAAGTGGAACAAGGCCACTTAGTATTCTCAAATATGCTAAAGTAAAGCAATCATAATACAAAATATTATATCTAGAAAGCTGAAATGATTTTAGGAGAAAAAAAAGTCACATTTAACTGTTTCTTCCAAGTGAGAGCTTTCCAAAATATGGACAAATTAAACTAACTCTACCACTTTTGGGAGGAAGCTGGTTTCCATAAAAGATTATTGAGAACTATATGCTTACCTAAAGCTATCAAAGTGATTTAACAATATAAAGCATTTACTAAGTATCAAATTTTGTGCTATTATCTGAAATAATCCATAACTATTCTAGGGGGTAGGCGCTATAAATATATTAAGTTGGTAGATGAAGAAACTGAAGTTTAGAATGGTTAGGTAATTTGCCGAGTTACTGTCAATAAATGGCAAAGCCAGGATTTACACACAGACCTTTCTAATCCCAAAACCTATGCTTTATCCAGTGTATTACACTGCTAGGTAATTACTTCAAGAAATAAAGTTAGCATGATTTCACATGTGGAATCTAAAAAAGTCAAATACACAGAAACAGAGAATAAAACACTGGTATCAAGGGTGAGGAGGTGGGTATATGGGTAGATATTAGTCAAAGGATACAAAGTTGCAATTATGCAGGATGAATAAAACTACAGATCTAAAATACAACATGACTATACTGCACTGAATACTGAAACTTTGCTAAGAGAATAATATTTCAGATGCTCTCATCTTCCCCCCTCACACATTCCCCAAACAGTGACTAGATGAGGAGATGGGATATATTAATTAGCTTGACTGTAACCATCTCACTGTGTATGTTAATGGCAAAATACCATGTACACCCTAAATACAATTTTTATTTTATAAAAAAGAAGTAAAGTTAATGTATGAGAATATTTAATCTAGTGCTTCCTGCCAACCAATGATTAAACAAACTACAGATCACATAAGCAATACAGTGATTATGAAATCTAAGACATGACTATGGCAATTATATCCACCTTATTCTCTCCTCCATAGTGACTAACAATTTTAAAATGAAAACCTGATTCATCAACTCTTCTATTTTAAAACCCTTCAGACTTCCCCACTCCCCAAGGATAAAATACAAACTCTTCAACAATTTTCAAGGCTTTGGACAGCATTTTTCTCTTTACATTCAGCATTCTGGTTTCTTCAATATCTTGGCAAGTTATGATTACTTTTGTTTCCAGGCCTTTTTGTATACTATTTTTTCTGCATGAAGCATTCACCTACTTAATTATCACTCAAATGAGTAAGACACTGCAGTGCGTGTGATGTTTCTTCTTCTGGGGAGCTAACTAGAACCCCGTGCTTACATCTAGGGTTAGTTCCTCTCAAATGTGCCCCTTTAGTACCTAATTTTTTTTTAATTAAGTAAACTCTATCCCCCAATGTGGGACTTGAACTCACAACCCAGGGATCAAGAGTCATATGCTCTACCATCTGAGCCAGCCAGGTGCCACTTAGTATCTTCCTTTTATTATAGCACTCTGTTAGAAATGCCTGTTCTATTAAAAGTGCCAATTGTGCACCAAACTGGAAGAGCAGTGACTACACACACACACACACACACACTGTGGTCACTACCATAGTACAAATGCCCTGCAGTTAATATATACTTAATAAATATTTGTAAAATCAGTAAGTTCTAGACTAGAAAACTCACATCAATCCTTAGATGAAATTTCTGAAAATTATTTTCACCGCTATAGGAAAGTGAACATAGTCAGATTTCAACACAAGAACACTAAAAAACATCAGTAATAGCAGTAGTAATAATAATAATAGAAACTAACTTGTAGTAAGATCTATTATACATCACACATGATGCTAAGGCTCTTACATATCTTATCCCTATCAATTATCAGAACCCTATAGAGAAAGTTTAAACTTATCTCAATTGCACATATAAGGAAACAGAAGCTTAGTCATCTATTCAACACTACCCAGCAAACAAGTGTGAGTCTTAAAGCAGAATTCTCTTGTCTCAAGGTCCACACTCACTAATTTAGAATGGCTCTGGACTGGTGTCAGAAAAACAGTCAAACCACAAAGTCATTTTTTGACTGATCTACAAATGATGCTAACTCATCATGGAAATTCATACGAGAGAAAATTCTAGGAATGCCTGGGTGTCTGTCTGCCTTTGGCTCAGGGCATGATTTTGGAGTCCCGGGATCGAGTCCCACATTGGGCTTCCTGCATGGAGCCTGTTTCTCCCTCTCCCTATGTATCTGCCTCTCTCATGAATAAATAAATAAAATCTTTTAAAAAAAGAGAGAGAAAAAAAATATATTTTCTCCTATCTTGATAGATAGGGAGATGTGAAGAAAAATATAATTTTGTTTTAATTTTTTTTTGTTAATTATTTATTTATGATAGTCATACAGAGAGAGAGAGAGAGGCAGAGACAAGGCAGAGACATAGGCAGAGGGAGAAGCAGGCTCCATGCACCGGGAGCCCGACGTGGGACTCGATCCCAGGTCTCCAGGATCGCGCCCTGGGCCAAAGGCAGGCGCCAAACCGCTGCGCCACCCAGGGATCCCATAATTTTGTTTTACAATTCACTTCCAACTGATAATTATTTCAAATTTTATATGGGATCCCCTGACTAAACACAGGCTGACAGTGAGATGACATGGCTTAAAACCATGAAATACTGATGGCTGAGAAAAGGCAAAATTTGCTATGGTTATCCAAGTTAGAGTAAATCCTTAAGCAATGTCTATAATTTGACCTCAAGAGCCTTAACTACTAAAAACACTCATGTGAAAAAGAGGCACCTGGGTGGTGCAGTAGGTTAAAAATTCGGCTCAGGTTCTGTCTCAGGGTCTTGAGATCAAGCTTGTGTTGGGCTCTGGGTTGAGTGCAGAGTCTGCTTAAGACTCTCTCTCCCTCTCCCCCCTCCCCTGCTCTCTCTCTCTAAATAAATAAATAAATCTTTAAAAAACTAGAAACATTCATGTGAAAGAAATATATATACATACTACAACCTACTTGCTTTTCTGTAGAGAGTAACCATTAAATCAGTAATATTTAGTTTCATAACCTAGCTGAACAACAGAGTATCAGGAGCAACCACAACAGAGTTAGGAAGAAAGGAAAGAAATTATGTATACCTGATCTATGAGTCGCTTTATTAAGGGCAGCCCTTCTAGTGCTGAACTGTCACAGCCACTGGTCAATACTCGTTCAAATCCCAAGGTTAAGAGAGTCTCTAGAGCTGCCATTGGATCATGAACCATGTCAAAGGCTGAAATAAATAAAATGTATTTGAATTTTGAACAGGTATTCTCTAAAACAGTGCTTTCCAAAATGTAGTATACACACAGTGGTGTGCTGGACCTAGTTCATACTGGCAAGCCAAAGCCAACTGTTAAATATTCAGGAGTTTTGCAAGCATCATTGTTAATCCATTGACAGCTTGAAATCAGTCAAGGTGGGAGAAGTTAAACCACAGAAATCAACAAATACTATATATCAGAGCTCTTTTAGTCCAAGAAGAAGTTTACTAGCATACCACAGTGACATGCATAAACATTTTAGATGGTACTCATTTGAATAGATTTACTTAAACACAGATTAGAAGTGAAACATTTCTATTTTTCATGATTTATAAAAATTTCTCTTTAAAATAAGCTCTCTTAAAAAAATAAACTCACTTAAGGCTTTATTTAAAGAAAATTATTAAATAAATTTACACAGGTAGCACTCCAATATGGTAAACTGTAAATATGATAGGCCAAGTAACTCGATTTTGGAAAACTGTGCTCTAAAGTTTCAGACAAACTAGACAAACTGGACTTCAGACAAACAGTACAGTCACCAGTTCTAAAAACAACCTGGGGGCAACTGGGTGGCTCAGTGGTTAAGTGTCAGCCTTTGGCTCAGGTCATGATCCTGGGGTCCTGGGATTGAGTCCCGCATTGGACTCCCTTTGGGGAGCCTGCTTCTCCCTCTACCTGTGTCTTTGTGTCTCTCTCTGTGTCTCTCACGAATGAATTAATGAATAAATGAATAAATAAATGAAATTAAAACTTTAAAAATGGCCTTGACTCACATTATTATTGACTAATACTTTCTGCTATTCCATTTACTTCAAATACTTAAGGCTCATAGTATAAGGACAAGTTGTTTACAACAGACTATCTAAACTTACAGTTCCATTCTATTTTCCAAGAGACTTTTCTCCCCCTTAGAGAGGAAAGTGGCAGCAGGAACCTCGAAAAACTACTTCTGCTTTGGTTCTCAGCACTGCTACATCATTTGGAAGTTCTAATCTATGGTGGATTAGGCACTTGACCCCTTTAGTTTACCCTTTAGTGTATGCAGACAGCTAAATGTACCATGGAGGCTTTTCCTTTTTTGTAACAGTGCCTCACCAGTGATTAAATTATCATACTATCTCATTAAATACATGAGTGAAAAAAATATGGAACCCACAACAATGCAAAATTTGGAAAATATGACAATATTTTTGTTAAATATATTGAAGGAAAAGAAATTTGAATCATTTTCTTAGTTTAAGAACAGAGAAAAATACATTCTATATCACATGTTTACTTTTTAAATTATTTAGCATGCCAAAGTTTAAACTATATATTTTTCAGATAAATGTTTAATTTAAATTACTTATCATATTAAAAAAATTTTTTTGGCCAGTCTCAAGGTGCTGAATTTTAAACACTCTAACATCCTTTAGTTATTACTAGTTTATGAGAAGCATTGCTAATCAGTGAGCCAAGAAAACAGTTTTCTGGTGGTATTCGTTTCAAAAAGAAACAAGAATAACAAATGTTTTATCTCTAATTTCTATAAATAGATGCAAATACTGGTGCCCGCTCTTATCTTAATCTTTGAATGCTTATTCAAAAGGACAAATTCAACAATTTCTCAAGCATATATCATCAGTAAAAAAAAACAAAAAAGACTTAAGACTTCTTTCTTTTCATGTATAACAGAGTGCCCTCTTCAGGCAAAATTGACACTTGTTCCTACATTTTACTAAGATTTGACAAAAGTGTACAGAAATTATAACTACCTAATTTATAGATAAGAGGTATTGTTTACATAAAATTATCAGATACTTTTTAGAAATCATTCTGATGTAGACAAACTATCAATAACGTAGTTTTATGTATGACAGTGGATATTTCTTCATTTACTATCCACCATCTATTCCTTCTTTCCTCCTTCCCAATAGCAACCAATTCATATGTAGATATCCACCTCCATCTCTACTCATGAATTTTATATTCATCTGGGAATGCTGGTCGCACCACTAGCTCCTAAATGGTCTTGTCTGGCTTAAGACAGGCAGTACGTTTCATTTCACTGGTCACAGTGGTATATTCTTTTGGGGATTACACAGGATCTAAGGTAATCTAATAAAAATGAATCTCAGCGGGTGCTTGACTGGTTCTGCTGGAAAGCATGTGACTCTTGATCTTGGGGTTGTGAGTTCAAACCCCACACTGGGTGTAGAGATTACTTAAAAATAAATAATCTTTGAAAAAAGTGAATCTCAGAATTCTTGCTTGGAATGCTGTGATAAGTATATACACATGTAGGCAATTCCTATTCTCTCACTCTTAGATATAATAATATTATATCCCACTACCACCACCAGTACTTTTAACTACTTTTCACAACTAAGCTTCAAATTGTGCATCTCCAAATTTATAATAGTACTGAGGTCAATGTAAAGAAACCAACTGGAAAAAAAAAAAAAAAAAAAAGAAAGAAACCAACTGGTATCACTGTAACACTCCAGTATTGTGTTCCATAAAAAGGTTATGGCATTTGGTGAAATAAGAAAACTGACACCGTTCAACAGAACTTTTAAAATGGAAATGACTCACCTCGGTGGAAAGTGACTGGTAGAGGACGGCATATAGCTATAAAAAGAAAGCCAAATAATATAAATGAAGAGATCATCACTGACTACTACACATAGATTTTTCCATGTTAGAAGAGCCTTTTTTATACTTTTCTCTCCTAAGAAGGACAATGAACTAAAATAATAAAATGGTAGCCTTCCAATTTCAGAATTCCTATGTACCCAGTAATCTCTGAATTTCATACCAAAAAAAAGATCATTCACTCCTTAGCTAGACCAAATAAAAATTATGCTATCTGGTTACTATAAAGGCAGCATTACATCTATTACTTTTACCCCTCTGAGAATCTTCAAGAAAATACTTTGGCCTACTAATAGAAGTAGTATGTGTCTGCCATCTCCAGATCTCCCCATCCTCACCAACTGCAATAGCTTTTGAAGTTTTTGGTGTAGTGATTAAAGGAATCAAGGTAAACTTCCCTTAAAACCTTCCAGGAACAGTAGCTGAACTTGATCTATATCAACTTAGAAGTCAGTAGGACTAGAATACATATGCCCTCTGCCCCAAATATCTAGATAACTACTGCTTAAAATAGGTTAGCAGAAGTGCCTGCAGATGTTACTGAAAAGCCAGTTTTCAGAAAAATTTGCGTTTTTCTTTTTTTTAAATTTGGGGTGACACACAATGTTATGTTAGTTTCAACATCAGGAGTATTAAATGCAAGCATCGCAGAGGCTTTTTGGTCTCAGGTACAAATTCTTACCCACAAGGGACATGCACAATTCTTTGTCAATGTTTCCATCTTCAGTCAATGCTCCAAATACCAAACCATCAGCACCATAAAGCTTGGCAAGACGAATGTCAGCCTTCATCACCTCAACTTCGCGATCTGAATATAAAAAGTCACCTCCACGTGGCCGAATCATCACAAAAACTGGGATCTGAACACACTGCTTCACTACTTGAAGGACACCTAAAAGAATAGAGAACAGACTAATTGAAATTCAAATGTGAACTAACAGCTCAAGGAAGTTAATAAAATTTATTGGCCTTTTACATTTGCTCTTGTATATTATGCCTACAAGAAAAGGAAGCAATGACTGAGGAAACCAGAGAAAGGTGGATCTGAAGGAATGACAACATTAATAAAAAAAGTGCATGTAATAGAAATTAAGTAATAGAATCAAGGGTAAAAAAGAGCAATTTAGAAAACAAAAGGATTTTACTGCATTTAAAAGCACTTGTCAGTTGACTAAAGTAAAATCCTTTTACTGGATATGACATTTGAAAGTGTAATAACTAACAGGCTCAATATTCTGCCAGTGTATTCCGTAAGATCCGATTTTTCCTCTGATTGATTATAGTTCTAGTTAGAACCTACTATAGAGATGTTTACATAAGTCTAAAGTTTATGACTCTTTAATGAACAAATAAATTTATCAAAACCTGTTTTTGAAAGTTATGTAAAAGAGGGCAAAGTTATATTTATTTGTGATTTTATGTAGACATCTGGGAATAAAAATACCTAAACGACACAATTCATTACTAGCTCAGAAACTCTCAATAGTACAGATCTTCCATGATTTACACTGTAGTTACATCTCAATAAACCCATCTTAAGCTGAAAAAATCCTAAGCCAAAATGCCTTTAATATACCCAACCTATTGAACATTACAGCTTAGCCTGGCCTCCATAAACACGCTCAGAACACTTACATTAGCCTATAGTTGGGCAAAATCATCCAATGGGAATCCTATATTATAAGACGGTGTTGAAGGACACCTGGGTGGCTCAGCGGTTGAGCTTCTGCCTTTCGCTCAGGGCGTGATCCCGGAGTTCCTGGATCAAGTCCTACATCGGGCTTTCTGGATGGAGCCTGTTTATCCCTCCGCCTATGTCTCTGCCTCTCTCTCTCTCTCTTTCTCTCTCTCTCTTTCTCTCATGAATAAATAAATAAAATATTTTAAAAAATAATACAGTGTTGAATATCCCACATAATTTATTGAATACAATACTTAAAGTGAAAAACAGAATGGCTATATGGGTACAGAATGTTTGCAAGTGTTTATTCTTGTGATCACATGGCTGACTGGGAGCTGTGGCTGCCCAATATCACGAGAGTACCATACTACAAGTGGCTTAGCCTAGGAAAAGATCAGAATTCAAAATTCAAAGTACAACTTCTACTGATGCATATTACTTTTGAACCATCTTAAACTCAAAAAATCATAAGCCAAATCATCATATATCAGTAACTATGTATAAGTTCTGTAACAAGCACAATGGATTTACTTCTTTTTCCCTGCTAAAAGAACTCAAATTTTGCATAGGATTGAAATATGCCCAATAGCAAGCAATGAATCATGATTGCTGTTGCAAAAAAAAAAAAGACTGCAATCAAATTTAGGTATGTTCTAGAAATTTCACAGAATGGCTAGGGAATGCCCTCCTTTAATGAGAAGATTCCAAAGCACTATTGCATATATAAACCTTTTATACTACATAGTGCTATTATCAACCTCAGAGTAACATAAAAGAGTCAAAAATTCATACAGGGACTTCTGCTTTTGACAGGGACTTGATTTACCCTCTCACCTACAATAACCAAAAACCACATATGAATATGTAAAATATATGAAATGATGGTTTATAAGACATTGCGTGTCAAGTAACAAAGAACTATGATGCCTGAAAGATGGGAAACAAATGAAGTAAGCTCTATAATTGACCCAAATTACTACCTTGAGGGTTTTCTAGTTTGCAGCATAGAAAGGGGGAACCCAGGTGGAGGCCAGAGAATTCTGAGTTGAAGAGACAAAGCTGAGAGTCCAGGGAGACCAAGTGACTAGAGTTCCCAGAAAAGAGCACCAGGAAGGAGAGGAAGAGAACTCTGGAGATTTGCAGAGAATCTCCATCCAATATTCAGCTTAGTACTGATTGCACATATGCAAGGAAACCATGCAAGACCAGGGAAAAATCCATTGAAAAGAATTAGAAAGAAATAATGCCTGTCATTCACACCTGTCAGGCCAAAAATAATGCCTATTCCCAAAAGGAAGATACGAAAAGTTGAAGATTTATGGGTAGAGTACACAGAAGGGTATTGCTTCAATAGTGGGAAATAATTAACTCTAGACTGACCACTATTCCAGGACTGCTTAACAAATTTTAAAGGCAAGACCCAAAAGGAACAAACTTTCCAAATAACCCAACTGTTCGAGAATATTTATAGTGATACAAACGTATTCAGGACCCAACAAAGCAAAATTCATGTCTGGCAACCAGTAAAATTATCAGGCAGGAAAATAAGATGCGTAATGAGGTGATTAATCAATCAAATGAAACCAACCTAGACCTGATATAGATATTAAAATTAGCAGCTAAGTTATTAAAATACCTATTATAACTTTATTTAAAATCTTCAAGAATTCAGAAACTATGAGATATAACAGACTCAAATTAAACTTCTAAAGATCAAAATGACAACGTTCGAGATGAAAAATATACTAGGCAGGTTTAATAGCAGATTAGACATTGTACAGAAAAGATTAATACATTTGGAAACAAATCAATAGGATCCATGCAAAATGAAACAGAGAAAAAGGTGATTAAAATAAAAAGGGGGTGCCTAGATGGCTCAGTCAGTTAAACATCTGACTCTTGATCTCAGCTCAAGTGTCCATCCCACCATGCTGAGTTTAAGCCTTGCATTGGGCTCCACGCTGGGTGTGGAACCCACTTAAAAAGGGGAGGGGCAGTGAATTGTAGGACAACTTCAAGCAGTCTAAAACAAGTATAACTGAAGTCTCTGAAGGAGGGAGTGTAATACGTTGAATGTTGAAAATTTTCCAAATGTGATGAAAACTATACAACTATAAAACTATACAAGTCTAAGAAACATGAGAAAATCATAATCAGGTATTTGGTTTTCACATCATTCAAAGCCAGGAATAAAGAAAAAAACTTTTAAAGCAACCACAGAAAAAAGACATTACATAGAAAAAAAAAAAACAAACAAAAAACCCCAAAGGTATGGATGATACCAGATTTCATTTGAGAAATAACACCAACAAGAAGACAATTGAGAAAACATCTTTAAAGTACTGAAAGAAGAAAAAAATTGTCAAACTACAATTCCAAACCTAGCAAAAAATAGCTTTCATAAATAGGGGAAGATGTTTTGAGACAAACAAAAGCTGAAAGAATTCATCCCCAGCATACTCGCACTACAAAAAAAAAAAAAAAAAAAAAAAAAAGTTAAAAGAATTACTTCAGACAGAAGGAAAATGAAATCTGATGGAAATACAGATCCACACAAAGAAATGAAGAACACCAGAAATACTTACTACACGTAGGTAAATACATGACTGTTTTCTTATTATTCTAATCTATTATCTATTCCTATCTTATTCTTAATCTATTATTAAGAGATAACAGATTCTGTTAAGATTTATTTAAGAGAGTACAAGTGGCGGGGGGGGGGGCAGAGGAAGAGGGAAAGAGTATTAAGCAGACTCCCCACTGAGTGCAGAGCCCTATGTGGGGCTCAATCTCAAGACCCTGAGATCATGACTTGAGTTGAAATCAACCAACTGAGCCACCCAGGAGCCCCTAATTGACTTTTTAAACAAAAATAATAATGTAGTGTGGAGTGTATGTATTTTTAACATATACTGAAGTAAAATGTATGACAACAGTACAAAGACCAGGATGGGAGAAACGAAGACAATATGCTGAGGGTGCTGGGATGAAAATATAAAAGAAAAAATCCTGTTAATATTACTGCAGTAATATTAATATTAATCCAGTTAATATTACTGCAGAGCAAATGAACCAACATTAACTATCTATGTCTCAACTTTTTGATGTATAAGGATCTCATCTTTGATAGACAGGTTTGTTTGTAACCATAAGCACTTCTAACTGATTCAATATCCACAGAATAGTTAACATATTAGTAACATTAGTAAAAGATCTCAGTGAAACTATTTTCCATTGTCTCTAGGCTCTATAAACTCCTACTAGAAAATAGGAAAAACACTTACCCATGCTGGGTGTGGTTCCTCCTTCCAATAAACCAGAACATAATTCAATCCGACCAGCACCTATGATAAAAATTTTTTAAAAAAGCATTTCTCAACAAATAAACTTTTAGAAATTAAAAATTTTAAGAAGCATTTATCAAAAATGATTGTCCAAAATAAATACTTATGAAACAGTAAACTTAACATTTTTTCCCAAATAGAGCAGAATCTTACAAACTGAGAGAAAATCAAATTATAAAACTAGAGTAAAACTCTATTTTTAATCCCAACTATATTCTGCAACCCACACTGTGTTACTGATAGTCAAGAGTTAATTCAAGTTAAGCTAGGTCTCTTGAAATTTTGTATTACAGAGTTGCCTCCCCACAAAGAAGGATGTGATTCAGAATAAGTATGGTCTGGATTGACCATAGTGTAACACTGACCCTTCACAGATAATAATCTTTTCCAAGAAATTTTGTTGAAATTTCCAAGAGATAACAGTGTTGCCTCTCTATGTATAAGGAAGGATATGACTCAGAATAAGTATGGTCTGGATTGACCATAGTGGAAAGCTGACCCTTCATGGATAATAATCTTTTCCAAGAGTCTTCCTTTTTCTAAGCTTTATAAAATTACAAGGTAATTTAAGTCAATAAATTTTGAAATTTATTATTTCAAGAATAAGAGAATGTTGAAAGCAGATTAACTATCAGATTACAGGGTCCTATCAAAAGAGTCTCAGGACCCAGCCTTAAGAGGGTTGTACCAGCCAAACATGGGATACTTTGAGCTTTAATAAGAATAACTACAGTGTAATAAAACACATCAAATATGTATAAATCCAGGTTCATAATGATAAAATGATTCACTGAGGGATAGAGAATAAATTCATTATCCAAAATCAGTAAACAGAGGAAAAGGAGGAAATATTTATCCTGCCTTTCTTATAGTAACTGAACCTCAATAGAACCAAACAGTCGATGAAGGAAAGTTCTTTTAGAAGAAGCACACTGCTAATAAGTAGGACAATTTTTCAAACCCCACTAAAATATGCACTGCTAAAATTATTAGGTGAAAAGATGAAAGAAGACCTTATAAAGGATGGATCAGGCTGACAATGTCTTAATCCAATGCAGGCCAAAGGCCACAGGTTTGTTTGTTTTTTGTTATGGCCTATAAATCAAAACAATTTATTTTTAAAAAATAAAAATCTTGATATATAATTCACATACCATACAACTCATCCATTTAAAGTGTACAAGTCAAAAGACTTGTACCCCAAAAAGAAACCTCATACCATTTAGCAGTCACCTTCCCTTCTCCCATGACCCTCAACCCTAGGCAACCACTAATCTACTTCCTGTCTCTAAAATTTGCCTAATGTGGATATTTCATACAGGTGGAATCATACAGCATGTGGTATTTTGTGACTGTTTTTTTCTACTTAGAATAAATTTCAGGATTCATCTATGTTGTAGCATGTATTAGCACTTCACTCTTTATTGCCAAATTAAGAATGGCTTTTACATTTTCAGAGGATTATTTTAAAAACACAAATATTCCACAAAGAACAAATGCTGCCAGGAAAGCTGAAAATATATACTATGTTGCTCTTTTTTTTAAAAAGATTTATTTAGAGAAAGTGAGTACAGAAGTGAGCAGGGGGAGGGGCAAAAGGAGGAGAGGGGAAGAATCTCAAGCAGACTCCCTGATGACTCTGAGATTATGACCTGACCTGAAATCAAGAGTTGGACACTTAACCAACTGAGCCACCCAGATGCCCCTATACTATGCTGCTCTTTAGAAAAAGTGTCCTGATTCCCTGATATAGATGAAAGCTTGGCCACGTGCTTAAACTAGTAGATGCTGAGTGATGGGGATTCATTATACTATTTTCTCTACTTTGTATATATTTGAAATTCTCTAAAATAAAAAGTTTTAAAAAATATCTGATCCTGAGATGATGGGAATTTCTATACTTCCCATTAAAGCAGGTTCAAAATGCAAAACAAATCTTGAGGTAAAAATAATGTTTTTTTAAAAAAAAAAGATAATGGGAGCATGTGGGTGGCTCAGTCGGTTAAGCATCTACTTTCATCTCAAATTGTGATCTCAGGGTTCTGGGATCGAGCCCTGTGTCTGGCTCCTCAGCAGGGAGCCTGCTTCTCCCTCTCCCTCTGCTTCTCCACCCACTTGTGCTCTCCCTCTCAAACAAATAAAATCTTAAAAAAAAAAAAGATAAAAGTCTTGATGATGAAAATGGCAGCAAAATTGTTAAATCATCTTTAAATCAAGTTTGAAAAAAATGAAGTCTCTAAGCTGGATTTAAAAAAATAATGAAGTTGGTGGGGAAGCACTACTATTGTGGACACTTGACTCAAAATGTGATCTGGAGGAATAAGATTAGAAGATGATAAAGATGGTAACTTGCCAGTATGTTTTCCAGTTGGTTGGCTGCTTTCAAAAAGATCACTAGGACCCCTAGAGATCACAAGGGCTCCCAAGATCAGTTCATGGGATTCCTTTCAGACTTCTTTTTTTTTTAGAGGGAGAGAGAGGGTTGGGGGAGGGGTATGAGGAGAGAAGGAGAGAGAATCCCAAGCAGGCTCCACACACAGCACAGAGCCCCCACCTGGGGCTTGATCATACAACCCTGAGATCATGACCTGAGCTGAAATCAAGAGTTGGATGCTTAACTGACTGAGCCACCCTGGTGCCCCATTTTCAGACTCTTAAAAGGACTGCCAACTGTCATTCATTATCTTTTGTCTTACCTCCTCTTTCTGCATTTACAGCTGACTCTACTGAATCAACACACACTTCCATGAGAAATCCATTTGCCGTTCCTAAAATACATGGAGAACAATGCAATTTCATGATGGTACTATCCATCCAAACCAATCTACCACCATTATTTTACATTTTGCTGCCCAAATCCAATGTCCAATAATAGGCAAGTAGGTAAGTACACTAGAGATCATGAATGCAGTAAAATACCATACTGATTATTAAATTGATGTCTCTGAACTGTGAAATAAGTACACAGGCACATGTATAAGAAATTATACTGAGGAAAATATATGCTGAATGCCAAATTAATCTTCCTAAAACACACGTCTTCATCATCACATTCTAAGTCAGTTTTTTTCAATGTTTGTCAATGTTTTCAGAATATGGTTAAATGTCTTTATAAAGATTATATGTTTAAGAACAAGGATGGACTTCAAATCTTCGCCCCACCACTTATTTGTGTGATCCTAGACAAGTTACTTAGCCTATGTTTTCTATAAAACAGAGTAGGCTTTAGCAGCTACTCAGAATTATTTAGTCCTCACTACACTTCAGACTAAGTAACTCATGTAAAGTGGAGAGTACCTACCGTGTATACAAAGTTATCACTGATAAATATATTATTTCCTCTATATACCTCCAGTTTCCCCTCAGTTCCCATCTCTGCTCTTGCTTATGCCATTTCCTCAACCCACAACGTCCTGCCAGCTCCATCTTTGAATGGTAAAATTTTCCAAGGCTCACATTAAATCATATTTCCATATCTCCTCTCTCCCAAAGTAGGAATCTCCTTCTTTTGAATTCATGTAACTTTTCATAAATTATATGTTCTTCTTTAAAAAATTAGTTTTAGTATTTTTTTAGTTTTTAGTGGTTTTTTTTTTTTTTTTTTAAGATTCTGTTTATTCATGAAAGACACAGAGAAAGAGGCAGAGACACAGGCAGAGAGGGAGAAGCAGGCTCCCCACAGGGAGCCCGATGCAGGACTTAATCCTGGCATTCCAAGATCAGCCCTGAGCCAAAGGCAGACTTTCAACCGTTCAACCACTGAGCCACCCAGATGTCCCTAATTGTTTCTTTTTAAAACACTAATTACTTTCTATTTCTTCTTATTATGTATGTATATAATGTCTGTTCACTTTTATTTGACCTAAAGTTCCTAAGTAAGGTCTCTTTCTATGAGAAATCTTTATTATCACCCATAGCAAGCACAGTGTCTACCTTGGTACAGAATAGTCATACAAAGATTTACTAAAGGCTGAGTAATTACAAATTCACAAATTTCATTCATGTATTGACTCTAAAAGTACGATGAAAATAAAGTTTTGAGCTTTTCTGTAAATTAAGCACATAAGTGCTTTTTTTTTTTTTTACAATTAAGAATATTAAATGTATACTTCATGCAATAATACCTGAAAGAATTACCACATACTGATAATAGTTAACTACTAGGTGATAGGATCTGGAATTACTTTTACCTTCCTCTTTTCTTCTTTCTTTCTTCTCTCTCTCTCTCTCTCTTTTTTTTTAAGAAGGCTCTATTTAAACCCCAGCGTGGAACCCAGAGTGGAGCCCAAGGTATAAGGGCACTGAGATCAAGAGTCCCGTGCTTCATGGACTGAGCCACCCAGGGACTCCCCCCCCCTTTTTACTTTTCTAAATCCAATATTGCTTTTATCATTTTAAAAAAGGCTATTTTTGATTTGAAAAACAAACACCTATCATTTGCTTACATCAAATTACAACTGTCTCACTTATTTAAAAGAAGATTTTCAGTCTCAAACTGTGAAAGAGCTAAGTGCCACTCTATGTTCGTAGCCAGCAGCACTCTATTCATTCCGAGTTTCTGCAGAGCCGCCCACACCAGCTGTCACGTCAATCCAACTGGACAGTGCTGCAGAGGTACCCTTTGCCTCACGGGAGAAAGGACCAGGAGAGGGTGGCGGTGCACACACAGAGCACACAAGGCTGAAGGCAGAGCAAGACAGTTGTCCGGGAAGCCAGGTTATTTGTAGGAATCAGATATTTGTTCGGAGCAGTTCTCAGTGTGGTAGTTCCGTTAGCTCCCGGGGCCTTTAAGACCTTTTTCCAGGGTCTGTGCAGTGAAAAGTATTTTCATAATAATACTAAGGCTTCATTTGCCTTGTTCACTCTCCTTCTCTCACGAGTGGCGTGGAATTTTCAAGAGGCTACCTGACATATCAGATCGAATGCAGAAGCAGGTACGACAATTCTATTAATCCAGATCTTAAAGGGATTTGCAAAACTATAAAACGCTGGCATTCTATTTGTTTAGGAAGATAGTTATTTTTCACACACACACACACACACACACACACACACACACACGTTAGTTGTGTTAATATGTAATGGGTTTCCAGTTAATAAATATTTTTGAATTTCTGTTTTAACTTCGAATACGGTCAACGCCAATAGATATAGCCGATATAAACACACGGTAGCTGAGGTTCTCGATAGGAAAGGGGAGGGGGCCCTGAGGCCAAAAAGCTTGAGAACCGCTGGTCTGGAGGACTCAAGAGTTCACGGGGCGGTGGCGGGGGGTGGGGGGTGGGGATGTAGCACCCGCCACGCCGTCCCGCCTGGCACAGGAGCAAGCTCTTGGGACTTGGGGCAGCTGTGCAGCTTGGGGACAGCCCTCACCCCCGGCGCAGCTGCTACAGGTTCCCAAGCGGTCGCCGCGGGACGGCACAGTGCTCAGCGCTCGGCATCTAACTGCCCCAGAGATGCCACGGGGCGGGGACTGGCGGCCTCGCGTGGCGGTGCGGACGTAAGGCCGGGAGAAGTTAACCAACGTGAACACCGTCGCACACTAGACGCGGTGGCGCCGGGATTCGAACCCACACATCGGGTCAGTCTCGCTACAAGCTCCTTCTCAGGCGCTCAGCTTCCACACACTTAGGATGACAACGTGCCCACGCGCGGGGGGCGGGGCGGAGGAGGCGGGCAAAGCACTCCCACAGAAATCAATCGCCACGACACCGCTCGCCAGAACCCCCGCAGGCCCGCCCCCGACGGCCAAATCGGCCGACCGCCCCCCTCCCCGCCCCCTTCCGCACCGGCCTTCCCGGACGGTATACGCGCCCGTTTCCGCTCCGAGGGGGCCCCCTGCCTCTTCATGCTCCACGCGTTCCTTCCTCGTGCGTCTTCGGTTTCTACGAGGATGCCGGGTTCCGGCGCGCGCGAGCAAAGGAGCGCGGCCTCACGGCTGCGCGCTCCCCTGCGCGTCCGCGACACCCGGACCCAGCAGCCCCCGCGGAAGCTGAGTCGCTGGCGCAGGCGCAGTCACTACTTGCCCCTGCCCCCTGAGAAGGAGGGGCTCGTCGGCATAACCCGGAAGTGTTTCTCCGTTCGGTGGTGGAGGAGGAGGGAGGCCGCCGAGAGCTGGGCCGTGGAGGTGGCTTTTTTCTGCACCGTCTTCAGGATGCAGCGGTTGCTCTTTCCGCCCCTGAAAGCCTTCATGGGGAGCCCGTGTCTCCGGCTCCTGGTTCCTAGGGCGGCGCCTAGAGCACAGGTACTGCACCGCAGTGGACTTAGTCGCGGAAGCGGACATGGGGCGAAAGGGTCAGGAGAAAAATAATAGATAACCCCACATCACATTGCAGTAGTTCCTTGGCATTCACGACGGATTTCTTTGTGCCCAGAGCCTCTGAGGTAGGATCCGAACCTGCCATATACTGGCTGTGTGATATTAGCCAAGTTAAGAAACCTTTCTGTGCCTTAGTCTTCATCTGTAAAATGGGAATAGCAATACCTACTTCAGAAGTTGTGTTGAGGATTAAATAATCTCATATACAGCAAGCGTCTGGCACATAATAAAAGTTCAGTCATTTTTACCTACGTGTTTGATTTTTGCTAAAAGCCCGCAGGTAGTCGGGTAAGGAACCATAACCCCCTTCTACCGAGAAGGAAATTGAGGCTTAAGTTGTTTAAAGTTAGGAAACAAAGCACGAATCTTTAGACTCAGGGACAGAGCCAGAAGAGAACTTGTATTCGCTCAACAAATAATTACTGAGTGGTTATTGTGTGTTAGGAACTGGGAAGGAAAAGATAAATACCAAAAGGCTCCTGCCCTGGAGGAAGGCACAGTTAATTCATTTGTCAAATATCTGTTAAGGTGTTGTTATGTAAGGGAACTGTGTTAGAAACGAAAGCGGCCAGAGAGAAAGAGCCAGACTGACCAGACACTGCTGTCCCACAACTCATAGCTTTGTGAGGGATGGAGACAAATGAACCTGAAGTACGTTGTAATGTGCGAAGGGCTGACATGGGGAAGGTACAGTGTGCTGTGGGAGTGTCCTGTTGCAGACCCGGGAGAGTCTAGAAATACTTCCCAGAGGAGGTGACATCTAAACAGATCTATAGTAGAAATTCTCAGTCAGGGGCAAGGAGCATCCCAGTCAGAGAGAAAGAAAATAATCCATATCTAGGTGTAGAGTTAAGTCTGGGGGAAGTATGCAGAGACTAGAAGGTTCATGTAGCGTGGGGATGGATTGGAGTGAGGCAAAACTAGAGATAGGAAAACCAGTTGTGGGGTGGATGCAGTAATCCAGATGGGAGATGATGGTCTACTAGGGCAGAAGCAGTGGGGATGTGGCCATACGGGGCACTCCGCTCTAGGCAGAGTGGGATTGTGTGTGAGAGCAGTGGACTGAGGCCTTTCCATGCGTCTCCAGTTATAATCTCTCTGTCTTGATCCTTAGTGTGGTTGCAGCTGTGGGATCAGGCGCCCCTTGAGGCCAGGGCAATACAGCACCATCTCTGAAGTAGCTTTGCAGTCTGGAAGGGGTACAGTGTCCCTTCCCTCAAAAGCTGCTGAGCGGGTGGTGGGCCGATGGCTCCTGGTCTGCAGTGGAACAGTGGCTGGAGCAGTTATTCTTGGTGGAGTGACTAGGTGAGTAATTCATCCATAGCGAATCAGTGCTTCAGGTCATCAGTAGAAGCACAGGATGACCAGGGGGAAAGGGACCTTAGGAATTATCTAGTCTAGCTCCCTCATTTTATATAAGTAGAAATTGAGGCTTAAAGAAGTACACGTCTGGTGGCTTGCCTGCCATACAAAAGTTTAAAGTTTTATTATTGGGAGCCCTTCATAAAGCCTTTTTTAGGTCCTGTTTGCTATGCGTGATTTTCCCTCTAAAAACAGTTAGCAAGTTTGTCTCAAAAATGTTTGTACAGTTTGTTTGTTTGAATTAAATCCACACAAGTATATCACAATTGACTTGTATGCCTCTTAGATCTCTTTAAATCTGTAAAGAAACTTTGTAGATTTAGATTTTTCTCCCTCCCTCCCCCATTTTTTGTAGTTTTTTTTTTTTTTTTTGCTATTTAGGAAACCCAACTGATTTGTCCTGTGGAGTTTACCAGTCTGGATTTTGATAACTGCGTACTTGTGGTGGTGTCTAACATGTCCCATTATCCCCGGTATTTCCTGTAAACTGGTTGTCACTTAATCAGACTCAGGTTGGTAACAGGGGGCCAAATACTTCACAGGTGATTACAACATTCATAAATATCTGGTGTCCATTAGAGATGCCAGTAGCCATTGTCACCAATCATTGCTTAGGTCCATGATTTCATTAGAGTTGCAAAACCATAATATTTTATTAGTTCAAGGCTAAAGAGAAACTGGCCCTCATCAACAATTTAATTATCCTAAGATACAGTTTGTAGAAGAAAGGCAGGATAAATACTTGAATCTTTCTTTATCAACTTTGAAAATCATAAATTGGTTCCCAAACGTCCTCCAAAGGTGATCAGTAGGGAGTTTGGGTTTTTAAGTATTATGAACAGGTTTAACTGTATGTGATGTTTCAGTCCGTTGCACTGATGATTTGCTCAGATTGTTCTATCTTTAGTCAATGGGAGCCTCTTCAAACTGGCTCCAGGGTCATTTTGATAGGATCCTAGTAACCTTTAATTCTTTACTTGTTGGATAAAATGTTCCAGGCTCATTTTATACATTTTCTGCCTCTGAGGTACCATCAGCCTTTGATTGTAGGAACCCTCACTCCTTTTGGCGAAAATACTGTCTGGTGTTAATACAGTATCTGTTCCTCAAATTCCCCCCATATTCCTTGTGCTCTTATTTCAAAATACCACATGTTATATAGCCTGCTGTGGGAAACTGCAACAAATGTAAGTTTTATTAGCTTAACTTCGCTGAAGAATCTAAACTATTTTATATCTGTAACAAATTTCTTTTCCTTGTGTAAATAATGTTGCTTATTCATTTAGGGCACGTTTCTTTGCTGTAAGGGTAGATTTTACCTGTTGAGGAATGCTAGTGAAAGAAAGAAGCAAAGAGTTCAATGAAAGGATCTAGAGAACAATAAAGAAATTTGTACGTGATGGCAGCTGTTTCTGGAGAAATTTTAAGCAGTAAGAAGAAAGCAAGGTGTCAGAAAAGGATACCATGAAATGATGTGTTTACCTTTAGAGGGGTTGAGTTCACATCCATTTGTTTCTATAAACATTTATGAAAGATCCAGCACTGTGTGTATGCGTGTGCGCACACACACACATCTTTCCTATCTTAAGGTTGACAGAGTCTGGCCTCTCAATGGTAGACTGGCATTTAATAAAGGAGATGAAGCCACCTACAAGTCAAGAGGAATGGGAAACAGAATTCCAAAAATATCAACAATTTCCGGAATTTAAAATGTAAGTATGGGGTGCCTGGGTGGCTTAGTCAGTGAAGTGTCTGCCTTCAGCTCAGGTCATGATCCTGCCTAGAGTCCCGGGATTGAGCCCCATATTGGGCTCCCTGCTCTGCAGGGGAATCTGCTGCTCCCTCTCCCTCTGCCTTCCCCCTCACACCCCCACTGATGTTTCTCTCTTACTCTCTCAAATAAATAAAATCTTAAAAAAAAAAAAAGTAAGTATAATAGAAAAATCAGGTAAACATCCTACTAGGCCCTTCCAATCTTTTGCTTATTTAAACATTTCAGAATGATTAGATTCCAGTATTTCTTGATGCTTGCTTCAATTATGTTTAGTGAGCTCCCTACTCTAAACCTCCAATTCCAAAGTGATCCTGATGTCACTGATGAGGAAGAAGGCAGATCTTTCATTTCAAGCTTCAAGAACTGAGAATGCTTCTATATTCTGTCTGGAAATAAAAATCAGTTGAATGTTTCCTTTGTTTTTTGACTTCCTTTTTCACCCAGCTTAAATCATGATATGACATTGGCTGAATTCAAGTTCATCTGGTACATGGAGTACTCACACCGAATGTGGGGTCGCCTCGTGGGTCTCGCATATATCCTGCCTGCTGTCTACTTTTGGAGAAAGGGCTGGCTCAGTCATGGCATGAAAGGACGTGTTCTTGCCCTTTGTGGGTTAGTCTGCTTCCAGGTAAGATTTATTCAAGTTTGGGAAACCAGAGATGCTTTCAGGAGCTTCCTAGTTGGGATTGTTTTTAAGGAAGGAATCTGGGTCTGTATAACAAAATGGGAAAGAGGGTGAATTTTAGTGTTACAGGCCTGGCCCAACCCTGCCACTTAGTTGGGCAAGTTGACTACCTTATATACAGTATGCTTTCCTTACCTTTCAATAGGGATAATAATAGGCCTACTGGTTAGGTTGTGTGACTATTAGACGAGATAGATCATGCATATAAAGTACTTTAGTGCCTGGAATTAGTAAGTCCTCAGTAACTATATATATTTTTTAAATTTTTTTTTCATTTATTCATGATAGACATAGAGAGAAAGAAAGGCAGAGACACAGGCAGAGGGAGAAGCAGGCTCCATGCCGGGAGCCCAACGCGGGACTCGATCCCGGGACTCCAGGATCGCGCCCTGGGCCAAAGGCAGGCGCTAAACCGCCGAGCCACCCAGGGATTCCCAGTAAATATATATGTTTTTTTCTTTTTTTTCCAGTAAATATATTTTTGTGTCACAAGAGTTTCTTTGCTCTCATGGCTCTCTTCCTGGGTTCTTGTTTCCTCCCCTTTTCTGACTTTGCTAGATGAGGAATGGGATCCCTGTTCTAGAATGGTTAAAGAAGCAAATTTGAGGAGTCTCAAATTGAAGGGTTCGTGTGAGACTGAGAGTCAAGAAAAGGAATACGAGAGAAGGTACATGCGAGTATTTGGGTCATGATTATAGGCTCTCAGAGAGAGTCTTAGACCATCAAAGAAACGTCAGAATTTGATCAGGAAGATGCTAATTGGTTAATTAAACTCAGAAGTAGTAAGAATAAGAACCAATAAGGAATTAAAGGGGGAAATGGAAGAGACAAAAGAGAGGTAATAGAAACATTAATAAATATC